GTGGTTGATATTCTTTCTACTGTATGGATTTCTTATATATACATTAATGATAGGTCCGACAAATGACTCCACCCCACCTGATGTTAAGTGACGGTGAAGTCCAAGTCACTATATCAACTCCGTACCGTCACCGGATCGCTTCGCTCGCAACCTATCCGCGCTTGAGCGGCGGGTGGACCACACGGTGACCACTTGTTGGTGCTGTCCGCTGGTTATAAACGCAGTGCTCCTGAGGTGACAGCGCGCTGACTGCGAGTTGACAACGCAATTAATTTTCTTCTTCATCAAGTGTGACAGCTATTACAGCTAGCTCCTAGTGACGATCTCTAACATACCACTTAGTTTTCGCTGACAACGCGGAGTCAACTAAGCGGCGGCGCGGCGTTCATCCCTCGACTATTTGACGTTCACTGCTGACAACGAGGTATCCACCCGTGGCACACCCGCTAGCCGGTTGACATCGCGGTGTCCACCTGAGTTTGCTCGTCGCCACGAATCGTCGTCGAGTAGACGTCGTGCGGCGAGATGGTGCCGGGTGGCTCTAATGAATGAGCTATAACCTTAATTTTACATTAAATTTGTATTATTTTCTTCTTCAATATCTTGCCCATTCTACCCTGTTCACTTCTATGCACAGATCATCTACTCATTCCAAAAATATAAATTCTGTTATATGAAATATTCAACAGCTGAATATATTCCTATAACTATTATAAAATTGTTTTATCAATTGTTCTGACGAGCTTTTCGTTAAAAAGACTTTTCAGACAAACTACGTTTACAAACACAATTTAATAGGCGGAAATAAACTGTTATTAGGTCAAAACAATGTTAACTGTGTTGTGGTGTATTTTCGGTTCATTCTACATGATTTCATAGTTCTGTTTGTTAATGGAAAAAAGTGGTATGAACTCATGTAACCATTTCGTTTTCTTTCGAAATGAATAACGTGACATTTTCACTTTAGGGAAAATTCGGTGTCTCCCTGTTGTTAAGGTCAAGATTTCTGATTTACTAGATATCAAAATTAAACTCATATAGTTAGGGTTCATAGGTTTTCGTTAGAGAAAGTGTTATATGTAGATAGTTCTTTTCTTTAAATTAATACAGGGATTTTATTATAAAAGGAAGAGTTTATTAAGATGCAGGACGAAATCACTTGACCAAATAGAACTAGGCTGATGATGATTCAATAATGAGTTTAGGAAGCACATTATATACAATAACAAGGTGTTTGGTAAACACCCTAAAAAGCATACCCATGTTGAAATGTCTTCTCAAATGTCATATCGCTGTTTCATACACCTGGTCGGCTGATCGCTCATGTTGTATGGAGTTTCAATTTCTCACAACATAACAGTGATACGTTCGTTTCAGCTTGTTAGAATGTTTACCAAACACATAATACATATTTTCTGATAGAAAGTACAGCGCCGCATTAGATCATAGCAAGTGGAAATAAATGACCTACGCCAACCTCTATATTGAAACTTCTATACTTTATATTACTATAAATATTTCACTAGCGATTTCATTTGTTTAAAATTGAGTAGTTTTCCAGCCCGTTCCTTATTCCGCTTTCCCGCGCGTCAATTATTTATTTACACAACAAAATGTAACTTATGTCATTGTCCAAGTTCCCCTTTAAATCCATAACAAAGTTCATCAAAATTTATTCGGCGACATAGACGTGAAAGCGAAACGACCAGACAGATATGCAGACGAGTAGTCAGAACATAACATGGCATTATTGTTAGTCTAGTATTAATCACTTTTAATAGATCGTCTAATTTTGTGCTCTCATAGCTGCATGTTTTTAAAAATCTTAGAGTACCATTTTCTTTTTTGGAGCGTTATGCAATTATTACTGATGTGTGATGTAAGTTGTAAATATCCGGACAAACACCAACCAGTCCGTGGCCTTCAACGTTTCCGCTCCCGTGCTCCAGCGCACAGCTGAACTATTGACATTATTAATGGCAACCCATACTACTTTAGTCTCTGCCGATAGCACCACGCGAGTGTTTATCAATCATCATTTTGGCTGTTAACATTTTTCTTTTTATTATCTTTTACTCCCCATTGATCGTTAAACTCTGAATCTAATTTACGCAAACAAATTATCAGCCAATGTTTTGATTTTCCTTCATACATAATCAAGAATCTGAAAATATTTTTAAGATTGAGTAAGAGTTTTAAAACGGTGTTGTGCTGAAGTAATATAAATTTAATAAATGTCTCTGTATGTTTTGGTACACGCTCTAACGTTCACCAAATTTTGAAGGTCCAATGCGTGTCACTGGCGTGTGCACTTCGACATCTAAGTAAACCAAAATAGTCGAGCGGCAACGTCGTCGTCTGCCCGGCGACCGAGATATCCGCAGTAACTCCGCGGAGCGCTCTCGCGCCGGTTCTATTTCGAAACGATGGCCCGACGCATCCCGAAACACATGCGACAATAATACTGCACCGCGCGGTGAAATGGCACTGGACTTTCACCGCGGGAACCACTTCCGCCAATACAGGAAACGTCTTCTACGTTAGTTTACAGCAACATGCCTCACGTAAACGGAACTCGTTCTTATAGCGTCACATCAGAACTGAAGCTTCAGATACCCGTACACCATGGAGCAAACGGGACGTCAAATAATGGAGTTTTCTCCCCCACAAACGGTGGAATTCGTCAAGAAAATGGAATTATGTCGCCAAATTCCAATGGACCTCTTTCACCGCCCATTTTGGATGCGACTCCGAAGAAGCCGCCTAAAGCTCCACTGGGCCGACCTATACTGCCCATGAAGAAATCGAGGACACTGCCAATCAATTTTGATGAAAAAGTTCCACCAAAAACTCCTACAACTCTCCTGAATGGTAAAAAATCAAAACCTCTCAAAGAAATTTGCACCATCCAGCATACTTCCCTGGATAATGGAACATCAACATCAAGTCACTCGGCAAATTTATCATATAGAAGAAGTAATTCTTCGGCCCCCGTTGAAACTGGTTCAATAGCAGAACTCGCTAAACGACATGTGCCTACAGTCTTAATATCACGGTCACCGAGCCCTTCATCATACAGTAGCTTCAAGAGCTCAGCCAGTCAATACTCAACGTGTAGCAGTAATGGCACATTTGTTCCTTTATCACGATCATCGAGCATGAATACAACTCTTTATAACAGAACTCCTACGCCTCGAAGAATGTATCCACAGACCTGTGATAATTCAGAAAATGTCGATCTAAGGGAATTGCGATCGAAAGAACAAGCTCCAGTAGTCTTTGATGCTAACCTCTCTTTTGTCCTCGGTTTAAACAAACAACCAGTTAAACAAAGGTTCAAACCAATCGCAGCTCATTTGGAAGAAGGGACTTCATCAAATTATCTAAGCAGCAAGATTGATAACTTTTTAAGAAGGACCGATCATGTAATGGATGAATGGCGACGACTCGGTCACAAAGATGAATCTGACTTAGATATGTATTACGACGGTAAGAAAAGAAGAGTCGGCAGGTCTAAGTCAGCGACCAATATCATGATCAAAGGGTTTACTATGTTTAGTAGGAGTGGCAGTAGAGCCAGCAGTATGTGCAGATCAACAAGGGGAATATCAGAAGACCGTACTACCGTTTCTGAGATGGACGAGGTTCGTGTTCCATTGCACAATCGTTATTTTATTTACAACCAACAAACGTTTGAGTCAGTAGTGTGGTATTCACGAAACTACTACTAATTCGTAGTTATAAATTATAGCCGACTACTTGAGATTGTTTTACGCGCGGTGGCGCTTGCGATATCCATCGGGCGGTTGCGCACTCGTAGCGCTTGCCAAATATTTTTTTTCATTGTTGACATCTTACTAGAGTTTTTTACGAATTGCTTTAGATTGTTACGTCTGTTATCGCCACATTCTTGTCACTCACGCTTGAAGAGGAAACTCTGATTTAAAATTTGTGACGATCTAGCATGCGGACTTGGCACTTTTGACGTCTGTGGTTTCTCGTGTCGATTCCCGGTCGGTTCAATTACGAAAATGAACTTTCTACATCATTGTGTGCCATAAAAACTTTCCGCAATGTATGTGATACCTTTAGCTAAGTAAATCCATTTAAAAGAAGTGAATAAACCTTCTTTTCAATGGCTACGATATTTAGATACACCTTTCGTATTACTTTGAATGTAGACCTCGGGCAACACTCACTGCAAATGTTCTCATGATTTAGCCTTTTTTAGTAGGACATAGCGTCTATTGTCTAATATTATTGAAAAAAAATTGATTGCTAAACCCGCAGGAAATTCGTAACCCGTTCGGCAAAAAAACGGGTATCTGGTATTGCATATTATCTGCCAAACCGCTCGTTTTTGTGCACCGGACGCCGCCGGACCACATATTCTCTACGTCAATGCGTTCCCATTTTAACTCGTATTATGATTTAATGGTGGCTTGTTAGCGTTTCATTCACGAGTTCGCCTTGTAGCTAACGATAAATAATGTTAGTATCAACTTTGTTCATTAGCATTCGTTGTGGTGCATATTCGATGCTACCATCTGCTTTTGAATTTAGTAAACTGTCTCATTCACTTATTATCATATTACCTGTAATCTAAGCTGGCATTAAAAGTTCAACAATATTTCTTGTGAGTCGTTTATATTATGAATGGAAAAAATTATAAAATTTGTTGTCTAATTCATTTACTTGGCACTTGCGCTTGCGCTTAAGAATGCAGGCGACGTAATCCAATGGGTAATTCGAGCGTTAAATATTAATTTAAGAATTCTTAATATTATTCGCAATATTAGTTTTGGATTGTTATTACCAACAACGTTATAAGAAACTTATGCATCCTTATCGATTCTAAAATTTTTCTAAAACCTGCTTCAGCTGCTGACCAAACCAAGTTAGTCAGTGCATTTTAGAACTACTTTTTCGATTATAATGCAATTTTTTGCATAAAATATTTTATAATTTGCTTGTATTTTTCATTATTTATTTATTTTCAGCTGTCTGAAGTGGGCGGCGAGTTAACTGAGGAGCGAGCTGCGGCCGGTCTCGCCACCGAGCGCGCGGACGCTGAAGCGGCCGAGAGGTTGCGCGTAGAGAGGGACAACAGAGAGCTCATCGCCAACAACCAGCGGTTGCAACAGGTCGGTTCTCAATATTTTCAGCTGTCTGAAGTGAGCGGCGGGTTAATTGCCACCGAGCGCGCTGACGCTGTAGCGGTCGAGAGGTTGCGCGTAGGGAAGGACAGACAGGTCATTGCCAACAACCAGCACTTGTAACAGGTCATCATCCTATCATCATCAGACTATTATTGTCCCACAGCTGGGGCACTGACATTCCCTATGGATGGAATAGGGAGATTAGGCCATGACGCGGGCCAAATTTTAATTGGTGGGTGGGTGTTGGTCAATAACTGCAGATGCAACCGCGACCAATTTAATACAATAAGACAACTGAATATGTTAATGTACAAATAATTAAATTTAAAATAAACGATAAAATAAAATTTTACATTAATTATGATCGATAGATCATCGATAAGTATTTTTTTATAGCCAAAAAAAGTTGTCGTGCGCTTTTGTTTGAAATATGTTCTTTACAGGCGTAATGCTTGTTTCTTCAACTTTTTATATAAATAACTATATGGTTATGTTATTAACTGTTATACAGGCATCGGAGAGACTTGAACTCGAGCTACTGCACTGGCGGTCAACTGAAAGCGGCGGTGCCGAGCCCTCCGACTCCGAGGGATCGGAAGCCGATGCCAGCGCCAGCGGAGAGAAATACAAACGAAGGTACGTTAATAGCTATTACCGGGATTGTTACCATGTTCCTGGTTTTTGACGTGACAACGTCTTATAATTCGACGCACGACGTGCTGCACGAAAAAACATGACTCATGCGGCGTTACCTCGCTCTGAGGCGTTCCATTAAAGGCTTAAAGTACAAACAAGAGCGCGCAACGAGCGACAAAGATGCACAATCAGCCTCCGCGTTCGGCAGCGTTCGACATTTGTCGCTCTCCTACTTGAGTGAGCGATGCGTCCGCGTGGACAGCTGCTATACAATAATACATTTACATCATCGTCCTATTCTAAGTAAGAAGAAGTTAAATATCACACATGTTTAAAAGTTGTAATACAATTGCTCAAAGCACATTCATACTTGTAAAAACTATGTACATTGTAAAAAAAACGTTGTCACGTTCAACTATCGTCAGTAAACCGACTTTAAAGACAACCGATTTTTTATGAGTCTCCGATATTTCGGCACTGTTGCAAGCGCCAGTGTCACGGAGAACTCCGTGATCATAATGTATAATGGTAGTGACCATTAAAGTTTAAAACAATAAAACGAAGGTACGTTTATTGTTAATTCTCTTCTTCTCTTCTCGTTCGTTTCACTCTTGACAGAGAGGTCGTGTTCACGATGCATCTGGGTAGGGGGCAGATGTAGCTCGCCTTACAATTTCCCGCCACATAGCTCTATTCGTGGACTGCCTGGTGCATTCATTAATATTGTCTGGTATTGTGATATGGGATCTGGTACCTTCAACTTCCTTGTTTCACAAGACTTTCTATGGCGCCATAGTTTCGCCTACAGACATCAGTATTGATAGACACTGTTTGAAGCCGAGTTCTTGTAGTATGAATACATTTGTCCGAAATTCTGTAATTATAACTAACCGACTACAAAAAAGAGGCGGTATTTTCGTCGTCAGTTTATTTTTTTTCTAATATTATAACGAAGAGAAGGACAGAGGTAATGAAGTTGGAAATAGATTTTTAAAAGAATTAGATTGGAACGGATTTGCTATATAAATAATTTTATGTCGCAAATCCATTCCTATACATATGTATATTTATATTTGTATGAGTCCTCGCATTGCGTAAGTGCTATATACTTCGATGTACAAAGCATAGAGAAAGTATTCATCTTACTTTACCTATTTTTATTTGTTTCTAGGGTTCCTTACCTCAAAAGGAAAAAAACGGATATAAGGATTATAGGATCGTTTTGTTGTCCCACCTGTTTGTCAAGACCCTTTATGTTGGGAACGCGTAAAGGGATTTTGTACCGTTTACTCAGGTTACTACTACGGTTTCTAAAAGCTGTAAAAACACAAACTTCTAAGTGAATGTAAAAAAATGATACGGCCGTTTATGTTGTCTAACGGAATCCTCGGTGGGCGAGTTCTACTCGCGCTTGTCCGGTTTTTTTATATAAAAAATGCGCAGTAATCAGTTCACCCTGCTTGATGTAGAGCAAGTGTGTGTTGCCCCACAGAACACAGAAAGAGGTTAGACGGGTGCTTATAGACCGTTTGTACGGGAACAGATGTCGCCGTCCTGCCCCCACTACGCTTCCATCTAGTAGATAATAGCCAATCAAACGCAAGACATCAAACAATCGACCCAATCAGCGCTCACACCCGAGAGCAACGACGCAATCAGACGCCCACAAGGCCCTTCTAACCTCTTTCTGTGTTCTGTGGTATTATTCAATTGTCCAATCTCTTCTGCTACACCTGACCCTTCTACTGCTACCACAATCTTACAAAAACTAGCCTAACCGTACATTCCAATTTGACCCGAATACGTAATAGGCTCAAAAGCTATAATCCATTGCAGATATGAGGCTGCCCATAGAGAAGTGCAGTTATTACGCGCCCAGCTACGCAGACAACACGAGGACGACCTCGAACAGCTGGTCACCGTCAAGAAACAGCTCGAGAAAAAGGTAAGAGTGAAAAATCAAGGTATCTTAACCTCACCTTGTTTGTGTACAAAATTATTTGTAATGGAAAAAAAACTTTTTTAGGGTTCCTTAAAAGGAAAAAGCTAAAACCCTTATAGGCTCACTAATAGGAATTAATTTTATGTAACTTCATAGTATTAAAGTAAAAATAAAACTGTTAAAAATCTAGCAGTTAAATGCTTTAATAAAACCATACTTTATAAAATTACAACAATAATAATCTCAATCAGAATACTGTAATCCGACAAAGTATATGCGTTATATCTATGTATATATATATATATATATATATATTTATACTTGTTTCTATGTATATTTATGTAAGTATGGTCGTATGTATAGTTAAGTGTTAGTATATTTGCTCATTGGTTGATTTTAATCTCTCTTCTTTGATTCTGCCGTTTTTTAGCTCTGTATGTTCTTTCCGGTTGACTGGTAGAGAATGCCATGTAGGCATTAAGTCCGCCATTTGCAATGTAAAGGCAAAAAAGATTAAATAAATAAATAAATAATAGAATAACTTCGAAGATAATATGTTTTTTTGTTTCTTAGGTTTTTACGCACACCATTCATTAAATAACAAGTGTCAACGGTATAGATGCACTGATTTATTTATTAATGACGTTTCGCATACTTTTCAGGCTGCGTCGTCAGATTTAAATAAATACGAAACCAAAAAAATCTAGAGCACGATAAGTACTTTTACAGTTTATCAACGTTCGAGGTCTTAGATCATAAGTTTGATGCTGATAGCGAGATCTGATATCATCTCTTGATATGTACCTGGCAGGTACGTGCTTATCTTAAGATATACTTTTTAAAATAGTCGACGAACAAAAATCGTCTGTTCAATGTGAATATATTCGTTATTACTACGGATAGTGAGAATTAATGGAACGGTACCTATGTTATTTATATAACAGTAGCATTGTGACGTTTTGTGATTTAAATCGTGTAAATAAAGGCTAATACATAATCAAGGATCAATATAAGGTCCTATATTAATTTTCAACATAATAATTTTATGACATTTGAAATAAAGCATCTAAATATTGATCAATTGAAATGAGATATCTTGAATGATAAAGTTTATGTACGTAGTGAAATTGATACATAGGTCTATTAGAAAAAAAATCATGAGTTTTGTTATTGATAACCACGGTTTTAGTTAATTTTTAACTATGGAGGGAGAAAATGATGAGGTTAGTAAATATTTTTTACAATTTTATTGTTTAAATTTAAAGAAAATATAACTAGAAAAAAATCCACGTGGACCAGTCAGCAGACGGGTCCCCGAACCCGCACCCTTTGCTATCCGAGCGAATGCACTGACCATTATGCTACCGCGGCCATGATGGACGTGTAGAATTCTTTCTAGCCACTCTGAAAAATAAAATAAAAATAAAATTATATAATTTTACTGTTATCTTAGTTTACTGAGTATTATTTACTCTTTTCAGAGTTCCAATTACTGTGTGTCCGTTTGGATTAATCAATTATTATATATGAATACATAATGTAAATAGTAGTACCTAGATTATATATTTATTTATATGTTGACATCCGTCTTCTACATCGTTACTGGTTGACTGGTAAAGAGTTTCTATGGCCGGAACGGAATACATGTTTTGATACTATTGGTGAAAATACACGACGTCACCAGACACTAGACACTCAGTGTATACATCGACTGTCTCTGTGTATCCACTGCCACGACACTTAGTTGCAGATTTAGTAGCGATTTCGCTCAGTGTTCATGTTCGTGTGCCAGGCCAATACAATTGAAAAAAGAAACTAGATTATTACACTAACGTCGACACAAAAAATTGCTTACCGTGTGGACGCAATCGACACTAGCGTCAACATTTGTGTCGAGTGTCGGTGTCGTCGTGTATCTGATCCATTAGACGCTTTAATCTTTCGAGCCGCACGAGTATATCTACTTATTTATTGCTATGCTATGTTAACCTATATGCAAAATAATGATTAAAAGGTTAATGCCCTAACGAACAATTGCAAGCTATAAATCTGTTGTGTAATATACAACGTAGAAAAGAGTTTAGATTGGCGACTCTCCAAATAAACACGGTTACATTGTGATTTGTAGCCCAGGGTACAGTCAAGAATATATTTAAATAAGTTTTGAAACTTTTGAGTAAGTTAAATTTTATATATAAGGATAATGTTGTGAATCTCATCTGTAATTCAATTGCTAATTAATATCACTAGGAGGAGGATAAATAAGCTATCAACATGTCTTTAAAAAAAGCCAATCACAATTACAACATATTCAAAAACAAATCACTCTTTGTCCTACGAGCAACTACTGATTTAATAAAAATAATTACATTTTACGCCTTGTTATGATAAAGCACAATTAATAATTAAGTCCTTACATAAAAGTGAAATAAGAAGCGTTCTGTTAAATAAATAGACACCTAACAATAGTATAAAGATAAAATCACATAATTTTTCTTTTGCTTGCAACTGTTATTACGACTTGGAAAAAGCATACATGACAAGACTTATCACATACTAGCTAGGGGGGCGGGGGTGGGGTTTACTTCTTATGTCCTACCTGTAATTACCGCTGTCCTATATTAAACACTAGTGGCCCTCCCTCGCTTCGCTTCGGTGTAGAGCTGAAGTGTAGACTATAGTTTTTGTTTCAGGCTTGTATTACACACAATGACATTCTTCTTATACCTAATTGCACGCGCCGCCAGGCCCCCCGCCCTACCGGTAGCGTCGGAACCGCTATGTACCTGCATTTTAAAATCTGTAATATCTTCGAAAATATTCATTTAAATTAGATGCTCTGGCTCTTTAAAAGCCAAATTGATCTGTATTAAATACACAATGTATTTAAGGTACTTAATGGGTTAAGGATGAATTTTATATTGCTGAATATCGCTTCGTAAATAAGCTATTATTTGTCGTAAAAAGTATAGAATAAAAATGGTTATTGTGGGTTATCCCTAAGAGATAGATTAAACCATCGCGGACTTTTTTGTAGATCTTTTTAAGGTATATAATACTGTAGTACATTATTCTGATCAATCTGGTAGGGTTCAGCCAGCGTTTGCAATGTAAGCGCAAAAAATGTGTTTATTTACGACCTTACATTAAAAACCTCTTAAATTATCAGTGTTTCTCTACTATATTATGCATGTATACCTATTAAAAAAACCGCATCAAAATCCAGGGCCATAGGGACAGAAAGCGGGAAGCGACTTTGTTTTGTACTATGTAGTGATGACTCTGGTCCTGTCCTGTACTGTAGTATAGATTTTTGACACAGCTATTGTTTCTGAAACACAGAATCGCAACAGTTACTTATGGTATTAGTGCGGTAAGTTGGTTTTACGAAGTCGAGGGCTTACCATAGTCACGAGTTTTTAAATATCAATTTCGCACGAATATCATACAAAGTTTTTCAACACATTTGCGACAAAACAGTATAAGTACCTACCGACTTTGAGTAATGAAGCAAACTTTTTCCAATAAGAAAATGGTGCGGATTTCCAAATGTCGCCACGATAGTGAAAATTAAAACTACATCTTTTATTTCTTTTTCTTTTTAGTACTATCCTTCCAAGGAGGTTCAACCAAAATTTAAAAAAATGTACGTAAAGGATACGCATGGCGCCAGATATGGGAGCGTATGGTAGCATGGCCCCTAATATTGAACTGAAATGTGTTGATATTCTTATTCATATTTTGTTATTTTTTTACTTATGGAGCGTTGTAAAGCCGCCGCACTGGTCATTATTGTAGCAAGCAAGAGTTTCTTTAAATTTGCTTCTGTTTGTTACCAAAAATGACTAATCGGCGCTTTCTGCTTTCACAATCATACTTTAACATTGGTCCACAGGACTCATTTTTGCTAGCCTCAAAAATGCGGCAAATATGCTAGCAGTTAACACTGCACATTTGTTATTCTAGGTTTGAGTAACAAGAACTGTGTCAAACTGCTATATACTATTACTACTGTATATACTATTGAATTTCCATTGATTAAGACACTGTTTTTACCACAAAACGCAGAAAGAGGTCAGAAGGGTGATCATTAACCGTTTCTACGGGAACCGATGTGGCCGGCTCAAACGACGATCAAACGACGCGACATTAAACAATCGATCCAATCAGCGCTCACACCCGAGAGCAACGACGCAATCAGAACCGATTGCGTCGTTGATCAGTTAGTCAAGTTATGAGCATTTGCTCACAAGTAACCGTGGCGCGCTTACCCCGCCCACGAGGCCCTTCTAACCTCTTTTTGTGTGGTTTTTACGCTAGCTTAACATTATTATTGTAATAAAGTTGTTTTAAATATGGGAAATCATTATCTTACACCAGGTACAAGATGCTTATGAAGAGGTCGAGGAGCAGCGTGCGGTGGCGGCGCAATGGAAACGGAAGCTGCAGAAACTCACCAACGACATGGCGGACCTCCGGTCGCTTCTCGACGAGCAGGTAATTTTACCTATAAGGCACCTAAAGCTAAGTTATACGGTTGATTGTTGCTTTCAGGGGTCATCCATAAAGTAGATCACACTAATTATGTGTTTTTCTACCCCTTCCCCGTCCTTGTCACAGTTGGTCACACTTGTGAGTCGTCATCCCCCTCCCTAGTGTGACGTCACATATTTTGTTATTTTGAATTTAGAAATTATTATTAATACAGCAGTTCCGAAAGTAGTACCGAAAATTAGCCAAAAAAACAATTGAAACCCCAAAAAAAAAAATATGTAGATCTCTAATCTACATATTTTTTTTTTTTATAATAGTTCAAAAGTAGGTAATAGATTTTGCAATGTGACGTCCCGAAACTTAGGAGCCCTCCCACCCCTTGTCACATAATGTCACATTTCGTTGACCCCCACCCTAACGTGTGACGTATTTTATGGATGGCCCATTATTATCGATGCTTCATCAATAAAAAACCGAAAATGAATAATTGTCTAAATTGACGTTCATCGAAATGTGCCTTCGCGATGAAAGATTCCGGCTCCCGATCGGTTTCACTAGCATCAATCATGCATCTGTCATCATTCATCGACAATGAACGACAAGTGAAACGTGTAAACAGCAACAACTCCTTTACAGTTAACATCTTTCATTGTCTCAGTTTTTATTCTTTAATTAAATAATTCGACACAGACGATGTTCACGCGGGAATTTCACAAGGAATGGAATATTAGCTTTTATCACAAGGTATGGAATGAAGCGTCTACACAAATTATGCATTTCACTGTTTATCATTCACAAATGAATCACTTTGATGAACAATTTAATTCCGCCTTTAGAGTACACACAATTTCATCTTTGTCAATTATATTAAGTCAAATAGTGATAGAATGAGATTTAAAAATAAAAGCTTGTAATGATTAGTTTATGAATTTGATTTATAAACTTTAATGCAAGTTGGGTTTAGTATGAAACACATTAGCGCTGCAACAAAACACATTATACTAAATTATTTCTGATCAACTAAATGTCCCTATTCCATCCACAGGGAAGGCCTGTGCTTCAGTTGTGGAGACATTAAAGAGGCTGATGTAGGTAGATGCTAAGAGCCTACGCTGCGTTAAGTGGGAGCGTCGAGTGGACGTCTGCTCCGCGTGCAGTTTCATGTCATTTCATAGAACAGCACTGCGCGGGAGACTCACTTCACGCAACGTTGCTCTATCAAATAATAACATGAAACTGCACGCAAAGCGAACTTCCGCTCCCTACTCCCGCTTAACGTAGCGTAGGCCCTTAGTACCTACATCATCTTCATCTTCGACGTCTCAGCCTTCGGTATAAAATTCTTGCTTGCTTTGTCCATTCTCAAGCAATATTGATGCCAGATTGAAGCATGTTAGCCATCATGTGAAAGCTCCTACCGCGCGGTACCCCGAGGCGGTTGTATGAACTCGGGCTTTTTACGAAATTTAAATAAATCTCTATAATTTTTCTAGACATGTCGCAACAACTTGCTAGAGAAGCGGCAGCGTAAGTTCGACGCCGAGCTCCACGGCGCACAAGAGGAGTTAAAGCGGGAACGGACCGCGAAGGAACGCCTGTCGAGGGAACGAGACCAGGCGCACGCTGACAAATACGCACTGGAGCAGAGCCTCTCTGTGAGTACGAGTCTAGATCTTATGACCTTCACATACGAGTCATTATTATAGATTATAGATGGATAGCAGCTGAAGCAGGAGCAGTCTGCAAAGGAACGCGGACAAATACGCACTGGAGCAGAGCCTCTCTGTGTATACGAGTGTAGACCTTACGACCTTGACATACTAGTCATTATAGATTATAGATGGATAGCAGCTGAAGCGGATGAGGACTGTGAAGGAACGCCGACAAATACGCACTAAAGCAGAGCCTCTCTGTAAGTACGAGTATAAACCTTATGGCATCGACATACGAATCATTATAGATAGATAGGAGCTGAAGCGGGAACGGGCCTCGAAGGAACGCCTGTCGCGGGAACGAGACCAGGCGCACGCAGAAAAATACGCACTGGAGCAGAGCCAGAAAAAAAATGGACAATTATGTGTCACAGAGATGAAGCGATAGGTTAGTACGCAGTGCGTCTATAAAGTGGTTGTTTATTTTCTCTTTTTAGAGAGTTCTCAACTTCATGAAAGTGTCGTCAGTCCATTCTCTATCTACTCTAAAGTTGACAGTCTTAGTAGTGACGACCTCCGTGGACGAGAGGTATGTAAGCCGGGTTTCAAGGTGTCGCCTACTCGTGAGGTCTCGGGTTCAAATCCCACTGGGAATATGTTGGTATGATGATTTCGAGCATTTGTACCTATGAAATGGATGTTTATATGTAATATATTCATTACCTTAGTATCCCATTACACAAGGCTTTTAGTGCTTACTTTGGGGGTAGGCTAATTGGTGTGTGTTGGAAATATTTATTAATATATTTTCATTTTTGATAATGATGATTTGCGTTTTGTTTACAGGAAGCTCGGCTCGAACTCGAGCTGAAAGAAGAACGGCTGAACGCTGCCACTCGCGAGCTTGAAGAAAGAGGCGGCGGTGGCGACGAAGTAGCAGCACTGAGACGGACCAGAACCGACCTCGAGCGACGCGTGCGAGACCAAGAGGAAGAGCTTGATGACCTCGCCGGACAGATACAGGTATATACTACAACACCGGCCCCAGTGGTGCCCTGAGGCACACCAGAACCGATCTCCAGCGATTCATGCGAGGCCAATAGGAAGAGCTTGATGACCTCGCCGGACAGATACAGGTATAATTCTACAAAACCGGCCCCAGTGGCGCCCTGAGGCACACCAGAACCGACCTCGAGCGACACGTGCGAGACCAAGAGGAAGAGCTTGACGACCTCGCCGGACAGATACAGGTATAATACTACATCAGCGGCCCTAGTGGTGCCCTGAGGCACACCAGGACCGACCTCGAGCGACGCGTGCGAGACCAAAAGGAAGAGCTTGATGATCTCGCCGGACAAATATAGGTATAATACTACAACACCGATCCCAGTAGCGCCCTGAGGGACCTGTGCCGACTAAAGATTGATTTATGATTCCCTTGATTAGTCTTAGTAACTAGTATAATGTTTTGACCGATGAATTTGAAAACAGTCAAAACGGTGGACCTTTGAAATGTATTCAAAGATTAGCTGTGTAAAGTTTTACCCTTACTTAGCTATAAACAATTTATGATAATACCTATTAGAAACACGATTTTTTTGTATCTTCAGTTACTGGAGAGCTGCAAGGTGCGACTAGAGATGTTACTGGAGCAACAACGTAAAGAGGCGCGTTTGGAAGCAGCCGCGCGAGATGACGAACTGGAAGAAACGCGCGCCAATGCCGCCAAGAAACTTAAGAGTAAGGCTTCTTTGCATAACTTTTGATCTATAACTACATGAAGTAACAATCGAAAAGTTTCGTTTAAGAAACAAGAAATACGCGAATTAACGAAAAACTCTAGCAATTGCCTTGCCTGAGTAAGACTGCACTTCACCTAAGAATAAAATATCTTAAATATATAGTTATAATTTTATATTTACTTTTATACTGTAATAGGCGGTAATATTCATGTAGTCCTCTTATTCTATAGTTTATCACTTAAATATTCATTTACTGTGTAGTATGCCTATTGGGTACTGTTTTTGTGTGCGTGTAGCGTTAGTATTGAAGTTTAGCTGTATGTGTTAAGAACCATGCTTTAGCGGCTTTTGGTAGAGAGTTATATATATATATATATATATATATATATATATATATATATATATATCTTTTCTAATTAGTTGGATTACATCAAATAATATTTATTTGTCTGGCAGTGCTCGAGAGTCAACTGGAGAGCGAGCACTCCGAGCGAAGTCTGCTTCTACGAGAACGACATGAACTTGAGCGAAGACTTGCTTCTTTGGAAGAGGCTGCGCGTGCGGAGAACCAGGAGCAAGCACAGCTGTTGCAAAGGCTAAAGAGGTATGTTTTTTTATTATATTGTTTTAAGGTACTTTTGGACCAAATTGTCCATACCAGCCCCTTCGTAACCCAACCATACAATTTTCTTAAAATCACTTATATATTGCACATAATTTTTGCTGCAATATTGCAAAGTACACCAGCCTTCTCCGATAGCGGGTTGGCTAGAATGTCTTACAATATGCCAGTCTCAAATCTATTAATTTTAAGAGTAGAGAACGCATGTCTCCTTTCTGCTTCATTTTTGAATGCATTCCAAGAGGTATGTGTTGTATTTGTACTTTGTGAAAGTTACTAAAACTCTTGTCATCAAAGAAAGAAATCGCAAATGAGGATGTAAGACATTCTGTCCCTCTCGCACATGCTGTCTTAAGTAACGTACGAGAGGCAGAATGTCTTGCGTCGGCATTTTTGATTCGTTTCTTTAATGACACGAGTTATATATTTGTATGTTTGTCACTCAATTGCGTTAAAATGGCTTAACGAGTTTAATGAATATTGGCACACATATACTTCGTTATCTGGACTGGGACATAGGTCCCGGAAAATTTTTAGGTTCCTGTGGGATACTTAAAAAAACTAAAGTTAGCGGCTTCGTCCGTGGGCGAAAGTTCGTTATATTATAAAGAGGAAGGATCTCTGTATTTTTGTAACGAAAACACTCAAAAATCACTAAACCTATTTTGAAAATTCGAAAATTTTTATCATCTATATAAAGTATACAAAACAGTGGATGGACGGTTAAATGGCGTATTATGTCAAATACGAATAGGCATTTTCAATGCTAGTATAAATATGAAACATCGCGTGTTGATAAATGAATGGAACTATGTAATTGCACAAACATCACAAATTAAATTACATAATTGAGAAACCAGAGTCTCTTAACCATGTTTTAGAATTATCCTTCATTTAGTAGTAAAGGAAAATCACTTAATTCTATAAACATTATATCTTTCTTTAGAGATTTGAAGAGATATCGAGCTTTGCTGCGCGATGCTCAAACGATGCTGGAACAGAAAGAGAAAGAAGGCGGAGCCAAAGCACAGATTAGACAATTGAAGAATCAGGTAATTATTATATTTTAAAAAAACAATATTATAAAACAAACATTATATTGTATAGATTGCCTAAATTATATATAAAACCATCAATGGACATAGTTGGGCTTGTGACTAACTTCACATTCCGCCATATTTTTTTAAGTAGATACGTACGTTGTTTTAGACTTTAATTCAATAATTGATTTTTATATAAAGAAATTTATATAAATTTGATTATGGTTGTGGTGCATTGATGGTTTTTGATATATAAAACCATCAATGGACTGAGCTATACTCGCATAAAAAGGACAATTATCTAGCTATATTTCTTCATCACTCCTCTCCCACTTATCTGCTCAGTTTTACTTCACATTTGGTTAGCGAACTCACAGTCCACCTTTCTCCATATCAGTGTTATCGTTCTTAACCGGTGGTTCGCGGACCATTTGCGGTTAATGTAAAAAAAGGAAGATTAATAATACTTAAGACTAGGCTGTATGAGTATTTTTCCCTTAGCCTTCCCTGATAGGTAGAATGTTAAAAAACAGAAAGAAGATGACGTGAGGAAGAAACAAAGATATAACGACGCCGAGGAGGAAGTGGTCCGCGAAGTCATTCGAAAAAATATTACTAAGTAAGAAGCCACGAGTATATTATCTCCATATAATCAGGGGCGTATTTACCGTAAAGCCAAGAGGGCAATGGCCTAGGGCGGCAAAAGCCATATACAGGTTTTTTTCATTGATTTCAGCGCTCATTTGCGCTATCTCACTATACCATTTTTCTCTATATCTTCCAAAAAGCTGTTACAATTTATGTTGTCTATTTAATCTACATACAAATTTTAATATGCAGGTAGAGGATCTCGAGCTAGCATTGCGAGCGGCGACGAAAGCGAAGCAAACAGCCGAAGCGGAAGCAGCGGAAACCACCGCAGCTTTGGAAGAAGCGACGCGAGCGAAGAACGAAGCGGCCGAGCGAGCGCTCGCCGCTACCAGGGACGCCGCCGCTGCCAGGGCTCAGCTCGATGATGCGGAGGAAGAGGCCGCGGAGGTGAGAGAGATGGCACTACTTTTCCTTTTCATAAACAACAGTCCGACTAGGAGCTTTATGAATGTGAGTGACAGTTCAGGGAGCGCTCTCCCTGAACTGTCACTCACATGTAAATGATCGTAAATGACATACAGAATATGGCGTTTATAATGACGGCGGCGTCAGTTCCAATTTTCGCTACATTCATAAAGGTCCTTGTCGCGCAATAATTGCTAATATGTTGTTATAAAAAATAAATAAATAAATCAAAGGTGATGGTAGCGAGGAAAGGTGGGACGACGATGCTGAAAAGGCCGCTAAGGTGAGAGAGATAGCAATACTTTAACTTAACATATAGTTGTTCGTTATGATGTTATTGTTACCCTAAATAAATATAAGGTGACGTGAGGGGGAAATGGGAGAGTAACGCATAAGAGAAAGTCGTTGAGGGGAGAGAGAATGCGACAGTTACATTTAAAGATAAAAAGTGGTATGAGGCGGAAATATAGGAACAACGACTCTGATAAGGGAGCTGCAGAGGTGAGAGATTGAGAAATCGATCGCCGAATCAGATCCGGCTGGAAGGACCTCGTACAATTCTCAGAATCGACGAAAGCAGATTCAGTGCATATGGCACGTCATAGTGCACTCCTAGACTTCATAAGGAACCTACGTGCTAAACTTGGAGTCTGTAGACCCAGTTTGGTTCGGTTTGGGCTGTGCGTTGAAATGTCGGTCAGTCACTCAGTTTTTTCTTTTACTTATATAGATTTTTGTCTGCTAGGTTAACGTCAATCGCTTTCGCTACTCTTTATACAATTCCTAATGTTTTTTTTCCCCAGAATTGAATAAATAAATAAATTGTTAAATCTTAAATAAAACTACAACATTTTCAACGGATTCGAAATTCGTTTTTTAATTCTTTTTTATAAAACTCGACGTTTTGCATCCTTTTCAATATGCATTAGCCGCAGAGTATGTTGTTGAATCTTCCTACTGGGATTATATTAAGTTCGTTGTTTCCTGCAGTTACTCAAGAAATACCGCGCGAGCACCAACGCTTTATGTGCGGCGCAAGCGGAGTGCCGCGAGGCATGCGCCCGCGCCGAGGCAGCCGCGGAAGAGGCGCGCCAGGCCCGCGAGCGCCTCGCCGACCTCGCCGCGCGCCTCGCCAGCGCCGAGGCCGGCCACACGCACACGCACCACGAGGCCGAGCGCCGCCTCGACACCAGGAACAAGGTGTGTATATAGGACGAGGCGCGCCAGGCCCGCGAGCGCCTCGCCGACCTCGCCGCGCGCCTCGCCAGCGCCGAGGCCGGCCACACGCACACGCACCACGAGGCCGAGCGCCGCCTCGACACCAGGAACAAGGTGTGTATATAGGACGAGGCGCGCCAGGCCCGCGAGCGCCTCGCCGACCTCGCAGCGCGCCTCGCCAGCGCCGAGGCCGGCCACACGCACACGCACCACGAGGCCGAGCGCCGCCTCGACACCAGGAACAAGGTGTGTATATAGGACGAGGCGGTCAGGCCCGCGAGCGCCTCGCCGACCTCGCAGCGCGCCTCGCCAGCGCCGAGGCCGGCCACACGCACACGCACCACGAGGCCGAGCGCCGCCTCGACACCAGGAACAAGGTGTGTATATAGGACGAGGCGCGCCAGGCCCGCGAGCGCCTCGCCGACCTCGCAGCGCGCCTCGCCAGCGCCGAGGCCGGCCACACGCACACGCACCACGAGGCCGAGCGCCGCCTCGACACCAGGAACAAGGTGTGTATATAGGACGAGGCGCGCCAGGCCCGCGAGCGCCTCGCCGACCTCGCAGCGCGCCTCGCCAGCGCCGAGGCCGGCCACACGCACACGCACCACGAGGCCGAGCGCCGCCTCGACACCAGGAACAAGGTGTGTATATAGGACGAGGCGCGCCAGGCCCGCGAGCGCCTCGCCGACCTCGCAGCGCGCCTCGCCAGCGCCGAGGCCGGCCACACGCACACGCACCACGAGGCCGAGCGCCGCCTCGACACCAGGAACAAGGTGTGTATATAGGACGAGGCGCGCCAGGCCCGCGAGCGCCTCGCCGACCTCGCAGCGCGCCTCGCCAGCGCCGAGGCCGGCCACACGCACACGCACCACGAGGCCGAGCGCCGCCTCGACACCAGGAACAAGGTGTGTATATAGGACGAGGCGCGCCAGGCCCGCGAGCGCCTCGCCGACCTCGCAGCGCGCCTCGCCAGCGCCGAGGCCGGCCACACGCACACGCACCACGAGGCCGAGCGCCGCCTCGACACCAGGAACAAGGTGTGTATATAGGACGAGGCGCGCCAGGCCCGCGAGCGCCTCGCCGACCTCGCAGCGCGCCTCGCCAGCGCCGAGGCCGGCCACACGCACACGCACCACGAGGCCGAGCGCCGCCTCGACACCAGGAACAAGGTGTGTATATAGGACGAGGCGCGCCAGGCCCGCGAGCGCCTCGCCGACCTCGCAGCGCGCCTCGCCAGCGCCGAGGCCGGCCACACGCACACGCACCACGAGGCCGAGCGCCGCCTCGACACCAGGAACAAGGTGTGTATATAGGACGAGGCGCGCCAGGCCCGCGAGCGCCTCGCCGACCTCGCAGCGCGCCTCGCCAGCGCCGAGGCCGGCCACACGCACACGCACCACGAGGCCGAGCGCCGCCTCGACACCAGGAACAAGGTGTGTATATAGGACGAGGCGCGCCAGGCCCGCGAGCGCCTCGCCGACCTCGCAGCGCGCCTCGCCAGCGCCGAGGCCGGCCACACGCACACGCACCACGAGGCCGAGCGCCGCCTCGACACCAGGAACAAGGTGTGTATATAGGACGAGGCGCGCCAGGCCCGCGAGCGCCTCGCCGACCTCGCAGCGCGCCTCGCCAGCGCCGAGGCCGGCCACACGCACACGCACCACGAGGCCGAGCGCCGCCTCGACACCAGGAACAAGGTGTGTATATAGGACGAGGCGCGCCAGGCCCGCGAGCGCCTCGCCGACCTCGCCGCGCGCCTCGCCAGTGCCGAGGCTGGCCAGCCGCTTGGATTGCGGTCTGTGAGACTAGTCAGGTGACGCTGTGAACGGAGAAGCCCAGGATCGGCTAAAGCGGGTGCGGACCAGACTGCTGTTCGGAGGCGGGGTGGTTTGACGTAAGCCACGCTTGCGTGAGTGTACGTCAAAGTAAACCCGCACCGACTAGCGGCCCTCGGGTTGCTCGCCGCTTGTCGAATACACCACACAATTACCTGCGTTGCGAGGGTTTGTTGACAGCAAACCAACGCGGCGTTGGTCATTGTCGTGGATATAATGCATTTTTCTCCCCATCATCAAAAAAAAAAAAAAGTTTCCGCTTGTGTTCAATACAACGTGTATCAGAACAAAGCAGTTTGTTACAAATATACAAATAAATCAATTTCACACAATATTTTAAAAAAAACTGTTGAGATCGTATTAAAGTGACCCTTACGTCGCAGGAGTTAGAGTCGAGTCTGGAGCTAGAAGCTACTGCACGCGCTCGACTTGAAAGACAGTTGGCGCGGCTGTATATATTAGAGCTTTAAATTATTGTGGTGTCGACGTGGTATTAAAGTGACCCATAAGTCGCAGAAGTTAGAGTCGAGTCTGGCGCTAAAAGCGACGGCGCGCGCTCGACTAAAATTACAGTTGGCGCGACTGTATATATTAGAGCTTTATATTATTGTGGTGTCGACACGGTATTAAAGTGACCCTTACGTCGCAGGAGTTAGAGTCGAGTCTTGAGCTAGAAGCGGCCGCACGCGCTCGACTAGAAAGACAATTGGCGCGATTGTATATATAAGAGCTATATTTTATTGTCGTGTCCCCGCGGTATTAAAGTGACCCTTACGTCGAAAGAGTTACAGTCGAGCCTGGTGCTAGAGGTGACGGCCCGCGGTCTTTTAACGTTGACCCCACAATTTGTTGTATTAAAGTCACCCTTACGTCGCTTATTATAATATTACGTAACCTGTGGTGTCGACGCTGTAGTAATATCACCCTTACATCGCAGGAGTTAGAGTCGAGTTTGGAGCTAGAAGCGACCGCACGCGCTCGGCTCGAGGGACAGTTGGCCCGACTTCGTGACGCGCACGAACAACTCGCCGCAGAGTTGGGCGCTGCCCGCGCGAGGGATCAACATGCGGCAGATGACGCAAGGAAACTGGCGAGACAACTCAGGTATGATTAACTACATAACACAATATGATTAACTACATAACACAATACACCCTCCTTTTACATTCAGTCATGGTCGTTAACCTTTTCACGCCAAAATACCACTGTATTACTACTTATATATGAGTAGTGTAGACTATAGTTTTTATTCCAATATATCAGCCTTTGACACTCAGAAATAACGTGGCTTTCTATTGATTTATTTATTTATTTTGGTTACATTAAGGACCAACAGCTTATCTTATAAACTAGAAATGAATAGTAGCGACAAAGAGCCAATTACATAGCTAGACATAACTTAAAGTTAAAAAGAAACTGTTTGCTCTGTCCAATGTTAAAAAAACTGTTAATATAGTTTTATAATTTAGATCTATATGATAAATAACAGAATAACAAATTACGCAATTGTTAATTATATTTAATCTTCAAAAAACAAACTAGCAATGATACGTCTAATCGAATCTTCGCTTTTGATAAAAGAATTTTCAAAATCATCGTTCAGTAGATCCAGAGATTATCCTCTACAACGTCACAAACTTTACCTCTTTATAATATTAGTACAGATAGATAGGCTAATAGTGTGATAAATACAGTGTCAATTGGTGATCTGTCTGATCTCTGCGATTATTTTATTCAGACTATAAAAATATTTGATCGCTTATTTTAAATAAATCCTCAATAGATAAATGTTTTTTCATCTGTTGTCTGGTGATAAATGTTTTATGATTGATATATATGTTGAGCCCAAAATGACATTAAACATTAGTACTTGCTATCGACCTTCGATATGATCAATGCCAACTTTAAGTGTCTGTTATAAATTATAGTAATTTTATGTCCATTTATGACAGCCTATACATTTGATTGTCTTCTATGTATCAGTAAAAAATACCCCCCCGTCGTACCCCCTGTACGAGGTAGGGCTTAGCGGATTTGCCGCTCTAATTGCAACGCCCGTCTGGGGACGTAACCTCAGCCTTACAGAAGACTACAGTAAAATAACTCTACCTTTTGATGGCTATTTGTTTCTCTCGGTGAGAAAGATTCCAAGACTCCACGGGGTAGGGGATTGGGACAGAGTAGGCAACGGCGCGAGTGGTATTGTTTGTATGGCAAGCGTCTACCATCAGGCGGGACATAAGCTTGCTCGCCCCCCTTTTACCATATTTTTTGAAATGAAACTTTTTTACGCACGCTTAACTTGGGAGGTAAACTGGCGAAAGCGTTACGCGTAACGAAAAGTGTGTTCGGGTGAGGCGAACGGGGATATAAGCAAGCGAAAACAGTGCGCGCGCACATTCTCTTTCTCTTATAGCTAGTAAATGAAATATGTATATGTACATACATGTATAGTATTGTACACACGCACATATATATATACACATACATACAAATGGAGCTAATAAATACACTCTTTTATTTATTACTTTCCTGACATTTTTCCTTGCCTTGCATTCGCAGAGAACTGAAAGAAGAAAACTCTAACCTAAACGCCAAACTGAGCGAAACGGCGCGCGCTAAAGCCGCGGCTGAAAGCGCAGCGGCCACAGCTGCGGCGGAAGCGGCCGCGGCTAGGGATGAGGCCAGGCTCGCTGCCAGAAGAGCCGCGGCTTTACAAGAGGCCATCGCGGGAGACCTGTCCAGCCCCGGCGACTCCAGGGATACTGACAGGTAGGCACTATATGACCATTTATATTGTTTAAAAACTTTCAGGGTCATTAACACTATAGTTATTTATGTTATTATAGAATTCTTGTCCAATTTGTTTTGAAGATTGTTTTTGCTTTTTTGGGACTTTTCTTTACACTTATTGTTAGTAAATTTGTTGATTATTTCTTGTAACCTATTTGACATTATGTGATGGAATTTGACCTCAACATATGTTTGCAAGTTTGATCTCAGCTTTCAATTTGACGACACTGTATGAAATAATACAAGGAGAAAAAGAGGTCCTTCCTGAGTTTCTTGCCGGCTCTTCTCAGTACAAGGTCTTCCGCCGTAGTTTTGCGAACTGATGGCGTTGTTTCGACTTTCACATGTGCTTGTAAAAGCCTAAACTGAATAAAACTATTTATGAATTTTAATTTATTTACGTGATTGTTACCATGTACTTACCTTGTTTTTAGCGAGTTTTCGATATTTGGGCACTGTTACAAGCGCCATGATCACGGAGTAGCTGAAGTAATTGCGGGTAGGCTCTGATTGGCAGACCTATCGGTCTACCCTCCGACGAAGTCTTTTATTGAGTTCGATAACCTGTACCACTGTCTGCATCCTCACTATTCACTCGAAACTGTTCTCGACACACAACACTCACAGTATCGGATCGCGACACGACACTTTTTTGATTATTCCGGTTATTACATATACGAACCACAAGATACCAGAGACGACAATTTAAACTCGTCCTTACGATTGTTTATATGTTTTGTCATTTCAATGGCTTCCCTCACCAATCTAGTTATGTAGTGGCGTTCTGTCGAGATAATGATGTGTTATGTATGTTATGGAACTCAATCCAGCGGTAGGACCAGAATCAATCAAATGTTCCGCGATGGCTGATTTCTCCATCAGACAACAATGTATATGGTGACAATCCCGTAAATAATAAAAATTACTACAGTACAAGAACACTGCACCTAGGGGCGTATTCATCCTAGGGCCAGAGCGATAAAAACCATGTAAAGGAAATTGATACTAACCTATATTTGATTTGCTAATCCTAATGGGAGGGTTTGCAATTCGTAGGTGGTCCGGGCTGCAACGTTTTAATAAAGGCCCCTGGCTGCACCTGACAAACAAAACCAGATTTATCTCCAATACGTTGTAGAATTCTAAATTTGATTTCAATATTTATTGTGAATTTATCTATCATTGTTTTTAGAACTTCTTTTATAACTTCAAATAATATAGGTAATTTGTGACACCTATCCTCGTAGCACGAGCACCAAAATTTACACGGCCAACTGTTAAACTGTCAAACTACATAGTAATATGACAATTGAGCGTGATAAAAATAAGCTATGTATCATATCGCGATGCTCAGCAAACTTATCCAAAATGCTTCTATACTATTAGTTCTTTTATATAGCATTGATAAAGCTTGGTTTTGCTTATTCCAGCACCCTAACATGACAACCAGAGAAAGCGATTAATCGACTTTGAGTTGAGTGTCGATGAAAAGCTTTGTCATATCGTGTTTCCATGTTTATGCTACGGGGGCTGCTTGTTGTTTGTTATAAATATTTTCATGAGTAGAAATGAAACGATACTATCTAGGTATCGATACTTATGCTCGATACTGTATCGGTCATAAAGTATCGATGCCTACTCAGTATCGAATGAAAGGTATTAATACTTACTTGTATCGATAAATTTTGACAAACTATATTTAAATTACAAATTCAGTCAGTTTTAATTTAACGAAAACAAAATAACGGCTCACACCACGTGATGAACGGAAGACTGTCTGAATAAATTGGAATAAATAGAAATCATACGCAGGGCTGCCAACTGAGCAGAAGAAAAAATGCGTTCGCGAAACAAAAATTCCAACTAGACACCTTACCATAGAGTAAATAATCTGCCTAATGAGTTTTTTTTTATACTTCTCAGTGAGTGACCGACCGAGTACCGATACAAGTACTTACTTCACGATACTACTTGTTACTTCTAAAGTATCGATGCCAAATGTACTTGGTGTTGAAAGAAAGTATCGAGTAGTTACTTGTGTTTACTCGTATTGTTTCATCCCTATTCATAAGTAAATAATTGTTGCAGTGACAACGACAGCTACAGTTCGGACGAGTCCATCGGCACTTTCCTGGCGAACCACAAGCTGAGCCCTTCAGTGCCCTCACGGAATAGTCTGCACCTCGACTCGCAGAAGTAAGTTTTAAATAAGCTACGTTCGGTATTTGCATCGCAGAGGCGACGTACTTTTGGTCATGTAATCACAGATTCATCTGAGTATATTGCTATTAACGAAAAGTCCGACCAACCGTAGATTTATTTCTAACTGAAACTAAACTCACAACATGACATATAATCAGATTAATCTTTCTCGTCGGTCAAAATACTCCGATCAAACAGATTTACATTGACCCTTAGCACGAACCAATGTCGAATTTGAATAGTTTGTGAGTCCGAAATGTCATTGTCAAATGTATACTGATTTTTAGTTCTTGTTACGTACTTTGTGGCGCTGCTGTTCAAGTATCCATTCAAAATTTGACATTGACATTTCGCACTCGCAAACTATTCGAATTCGAAAATGGTTCGTGCTAGGGGGTACTGTACTATAGGCCTCATTCTCTAACTGCTTTTGACAGATAGTGATAATAACCGAGCTATTTAGTGATCCACTACCGCTTTATATTAACGCCACTAAGATTCTTGTTTTGAAAACGGTGGGTATACAATTTTCTCTTTAGTTATACATTGTAAATGTCAAAAAAGTTAGCGAATAGGCCTATTAAGCGGAATTACCGTACGATGGTTCAGATTTACTCTAGATGTAATGAACGAACGATTCAAACTAAAAAGACTGATCAGACGCAAATAACGAACACAGCTTTCACAGATAACCGCGATACAAAACGTAGGAGGTATGAGATGGAAGCTATAAGGCAGTTTTGTCTACCATTGTGTGGACAAAGAATCTTGTAGTGTCGACGGATACTTGAAGCGGAGCTCGATGGGGCAGGTGGATAGTGCGTTTGACCTGCAATCTCGAAGTTAAGCAACTTTCGCAATGATCAGTCATTGGATGGGTGACAAAAACTTATTTCCTCGAACTCCTCTGTGCTTCGGAAGGCACGTTAAACCGTTGGTCCCGGCAACATTTGCAGTTTTAGCACCCACTAATGCGCTGCGCCCGCGTGGTGGGTCATGGCCCAATCCCCTTATTTCATCCATAGGGAAGGCTTGTGCCCCAGCTGTAGGGCCATTAAATGGGATAATAAGTGAATGACAAAGGCAAAGAGATACCACATATTATGATGACCCGCTGATGGAGAGACAGATATAAGCCCGTCCGTTGGTCTGTTAGCGGGCCATAATTATGAACGTGTATTTCTTTGTCCCACTATAACTTCTAAAATACGCTTGATCAGATTAGGATGTGTAGGGTTTAGTTAGAATCTTTAAATCATCGCGAGTGACATGGGCTTTAAATTCATTTGGAAAAAACTCAAATTGGTGGTGCGCCATTTTTTTTATAATGTAGATTATTATATATAATATATAATTATACACCCCGGCAAACTTCTTGAGCAACGACCATAGACAAGGAAGCCTACAATTTTCCATAAAAAATTTCTACAGCGAAGTATATTTGTGGTTTTGCTCAAGAAGTTTACCGCTACCTGTACCTGCATGTGGATTCTGTTACATGCAATCTCGATGCGAATCTGAGTTTCGATTTTGTTAGTTCCAATTCTATTACTTGCTGCTTCAACAGCCAATGCGATATTTTGCCGAGTAATGCATATAACTTATTTCTAAAATTCTAGCTATCGAACTCGGAAGCATATATTATAAGATTAAATGTTAATTTACAGTACCCTTAGGATAAACCAATGGTGCAATTCTGGCATGATTCTCTTAACCTAAACTTAAATTTGACAACAACGTATCCTTGTCATTCTCTATACAGAATGAAAACGTGATAATGATGTTAAATTTAGTTTTAAGTTTTGAGAATCATACTAGAATCGACGCCAATGTCGGATTCGAGTAGTTGAATTCGATCTCGACGTGTCAAATGGGAAGAAGTTTTGTATGGAAATATGAACAGCGCCCCACAACGGACGTAATGTATTAAAAATCTTGTGTACAAAACTTCTTGACATTTGACGTGAATTATCAATGCGATCAACAGATTCAACTTTTAACTTTTAATTATTTTTTTACTTCAATTTGATTGAAAGTCTGCTCAGACGGTTTAATACGCATACGATTTAGCAGTTGATCAACTTGACGACCACAACTTTGACAACCTCCGTGGCCGAGTGGTTTGTACGCAATTTCATGGTGTCGCCGACTCTAGAGGTCCCGGGTTCGAATCCCGGTGGGGGCAGATGTTAGTGTGATGAATACGAGCATTTGTACTCCAGTCATGGATGATCACATCACACTAATATTATAAAGGCGAAAGTTTGTGAGTATGTGAGTGTGTATGTTTGTTACTTCTTCACGTCTAAACGGCTGGAGCGATTTTAATTAAATTTGGTATAGAGTTAGCTGACACCCTAGATTAACACATAGGCTACTTTTATCCCGAAAAATGTTAGGTTCCAGAGGGATTTTCAAGAAACTAAGTTAACGCAGACGAAGTCGCGGGCGACCTCTAGTACTTATATAATTATGTATGTACAGTATATGTATTCTATCTCTTACCCTAGCATCCCATAACACAAGCCTTACAGTGCTTTCTTTGGGGCTAGGCTAATTGGTGTGAGTGTTGGAAATATTTATTATTTTATTATTATTATCTAAAATCGCCCCCGTATTTGGGGTACAGAATCGTTCTAAAGTATGCCTTTTTTCGCAGATCGCAAACGCCCGAAGGCAGACAGAGCCGGTCTAGTGTATCTTCGTCGTCTACCACCGCCAAGCAGCCAGTGACCCCTACCAAAGAGTCGTTCGCATAACAACCGCCGGGCGGCGGCGCGGGAGTCCTCGCCGGCGCGCTGCCTCTGCTCTGCGCCGCGTTCTGCGCGCGGCAACGGCACCAATCCGCGCACCTTATAGCCGAATGAACATTGCGCGACTGTTGAACGGCAATTGTGTGGAAGTTGAGCGGCAATTGCGCGATAGTTGACCGGCAATTGTGTAGTAGTTGAGCGACTTTTGAACGACTATTGCACTATAGTTGAGTGAAAAATGAACGACTATTGCGTGATAGTTGGGCGACAGATCGCAGATGCCCGAAGGCAGATAGAGCCGGTCTAGTGTATCTTCGTGCTCGACCACCGCCGCCGACGAAGGAGTCGTTCACATAACAACGCTTCTGCTCGTGGCAAAGGCACCAATCCGCGCACCTTATAGCCGAGTGAATATTGCGCGGTAGTTGAGCGACAATTGCACGATTGTTGCGTGATAGTTGGGCGACAGATCGCAGACGCCCGAAGGCAGAAAGAGCCGGTCTAGTTAGTGCATCTTCGTCCTCGACCACCGCCGCCGACGTCCTTCGTCGTTCGTCGTCTTTCGCATAACAACGCTCTCTGCTCGTGACAGCGGCAGTAATCTGCGCACCTCGTAGCTGAGTGAACGTTGCGCGACTGTTGAACGGCAATTGCGTGGAAGTTGAGCGGCAATTGCGCGATAGTTGATCGGAAAGTGAACGACTCTCGCAATTGCACGACCATTGCGCGGTAGTTGAACAAATATTGCACGGAAATAGCATGACTATCGAGTGTGAATTGCATACCACCAGTATATATACAGTACTACACGCGCGTGCGACTGCCTCTTGTGATCGTGTAAAGAAAGATAGATTTCTTTCAGTCGATATAAACAGACAGGTTTGTTAAAAAACTCGGTCCAAACTTTTTTGAAGGAGCAGAAGATAAAAACTTTGTATGGTGATGAAGAATGTAAACCAAATCGAAATAGGAGAGTAGTGAAAGTATAACCGGTTTATTGAAAATTCGTAATAGAAGTGATCTGAATCTGTATGATTATTGTATCAAATAGTCTCTTGCAATAATGTTAATCGCAACTCAAACAACTAATCGTGTACTCTTTCATGACATATTTTATACTATATCTAAGCCTTATCAGTATACACTTTTCAATAGTTATTAAAGACGCCTAAAATGTACTGCTCAACATTTATACACATATAATAAAATAGAGGCTATGCGATAAAATTTCTACTATGACATTTTTATAGAGCTTTTATTGGTTTTCTACGAATAACACGTGGTTTGATATCGGATTTGTATTAGATGCATGGAGCTAGTGTCCTGGCCAATAGTAGTGGTCAAAGTGATGTTTGTGAAAGTGAATGCATTCCAAAATATTCTACACGATTCTTGGACGCGTCGATAACCTCGAAGACTTATTATTGGTCCTTTATGTGTGAACACTAGCGCCATCCTAGATAGGCTTTGACTTTAATTTATTTAGTATTGTAGTACTTAGACAATTCATATATAGTTCACTTAGATGTCGTTCTGTGTACAGCCAGTCAGTATTTAGACGGCCTAGAGGCGGATTATCCATCTTACAAATTAATTATAGAAACCTTTGTTATTTAGTTAGCTAACTCTTGTAAATAACTAGATGGCATATACATTTATTATTTAATTTGTAATATTTGTGTGATCAGACTGTTAAACTATGATTTATTTGTTACAAGTGATTTGTTGCTTTATAGTAGACTTCAATACATATCTCTGTTAGATAAGTAATAGTTTTTTTTTAATCAGTGTCAAATAATATTTTTAATTAATTTTTTATATACATACTGGTTTTGTTTTGCTGTAATTTTGAAATTATCATCTTATAAATTATGAACTTAATTCTTTGTAATGATATAACTTATTATTCGTGAAATTACTCTATATATACCTATGTGTCTATAACCGCAATTATAATATTGACCATCTACCTACGTGTATTGTACGATAATGTGATGATACGTTACTGAATTCTCTGGTTGTAAAATGAAATATTTAATAAAGTAACAAAAATGAACTCTGTTGTTTTTTTTGCAAAAATGTCATATTATTTATCTTCCCCCTAATAAATCACTCGGGTCTTAAAGTAGAAGAATGTTAAAATGAAATAATGATATGGTAGAATGAGGTTGTGCCACTTTTTTGTCCCCTAAAAATGTATTGAGTACTTACCTAGTTATCGACAGAGTCTCGGACTTTGCCGACTGACGAGTACAAAATCCTGTACTGGATAATTAATATCTTGGAAAAGAAATTCAGCTCGCTTTATCTTTCGCGACAGAAAATTACCGTTGACGAATCTATACTCAATTTTAGTGGGTAGTTGTCATTCGGACAGAGAATTGTTGCAAAGTCCAAAGTCTCTATTAACGATGTTCAGTTATAGTGGAAGGATGTTAAAATTAACTTAGTTTTTAGAGAAAATATCGTTTAATTATCATGTATAAGATAATTTAATAAATGTGAGCAAGTATTCGAAGACGAATAAAATAACACTCCTAATTTTTGTGATTTTAATTTCAACATAAGTTGCTATATCTTACAATTTTCTTTATTATACAGCGACACACTCAGAATAATGGCTACGCTTTTTTGTGAAATTCTACGTCCATTATAGACACTACTAGCAAACCAGTGAACCAAATGTTCACCAAAACCTGATTTAAAAAAAAAATTATTTCATCAATTGAGAACTTCGGAGATTTTGTGTGGTTTCGTTTGAAATTCGTGATTTCTCGAAAACCGGAAGTGCTACGTTACTCAAATCCGGTTTGTAGTCTTATCAGACTATTCTTAACTTATAACTTAAATATTCTCTTTATCTATCTCTTACGGTTTGGCCGCTGAAACAGCACCACAGACAGACTGACGGACGGACGGACTTGTCTAATAGATAAGAGATGTCTATGCTCATGCTAGGTGGGCGGGCTAAAGTGATTGTTGGCGATCTAAAATTTCACGATATAAAATTTATAAATAATATATACTTATTTATAAATTTTATATCGTGAAAGGAGATTGCTCAGCTTCCATACATGTTTGGCCTAAAGACCAATAATCATGAAAAATTGTTTTCTAGATTCAAAATTATATATAAATTACTGTAGAAACGAATATTATTGACGGACACCCCTGAGAACTTCTATAAACCATATACACTGAACATATTTAAACAATGAAAAACATATAAGTTATATAGTAAACTAGGGAAATCAAGCCAAGTACCGAAATTATGGATTAGATTCAGGTATATAGAGCATGTAGATTAACAGATAGTTGCCTGTTTTTAAAGTTAATGCATATGAGTAACTTTTAAAATCAGGTGTCATCTATGCATTTCCGGTTATAATAAGGTAGGTACTCTGTGACAGAAACTGTGATTGTGAATGAGCCACAGATTAGAGAGAATTTTTAAACTCTCGTTAACCAAAGAAAGCTAAGAGATTTAGGGTACGGCCAGAGTGCACTCAGATTCAGATTCAGATTCCGAAAACAAGCGCGAGAAATAAACAGTGTAGTTAAAGCAGGGTGGCCATAGTGGCAGCAGGCAACCTGCTTCAACTACACTGTATATTTCTCGCGCTTGTTTTCTGAGTCTGAATCTGAGTGCACTCTGGCCGTACCCTTAGGTTATATAGCCATATATTCAGTAGCTTCATTGTTTTTGTTATGTTTTTAATATAACCATATTTTAGATTTTTAGTGTATCACACCTTATAATTTTATTTATTTACAGTCAGGCAACGTCTGAGTGCACTCTGGCCGTACCCTTAGGTTATATAGCCATATATTCAGTAGCTTCATTGTTTTTGATATGTTTTTAATATAACCATATTTTAGATTTTTAGAGTATCACACCTTATAATTTTATTTATTTACAGTCAGGCAACGTAGGCCGGTCCCCGTGATACCCCGGGAGACCCCTGCCGTGGAGCCCCGGCTAGGCCGGGAGGCTGCTAGGTGCGGAGACGCGGAGGAATCCCTAAACGGGGATCCCGCGGCTTCGCGCTAAGCAGCTTAGAGGGTATTCGCAGGACTTTTTTAGCGGATATTATGCCGTAAAGCGTCCGTAAGAGTTGCGGGGTCCTCGGTGGACAGCCACTGGGGCGCCCGTAAGACTTGCGGAAGCCAGGTGTGAGGTCCGTTCGGCGGTGTGCCTCTTAAAGGCGCCATCGTCTGTAAATAGCATTTTTTACCTGCGTAATAAAAAAAAAAAGGCAACATAGGCCCATAGAGAGACACCATAAAGTCTAAACAGATTATAATGTGTTTATGGAGGTATTTGGAGCAAAATGTATGGCAATAGACTTTATGATGTTGCCAACCGTCTATAATAATTGTCTGAGCACATTTGCATGTAGTGAAAATGATAATATAGTTGTGGATATTAATACCACAGTGTAAAAAAATGATTTATTTTATTGATTACAAAATAGATTTGTTTTTATGTTATATAAACAACTTCGATCAGTCTTTGGCTGAATGTTACTACACCCATAGCCATTAAAAATGATTCGTATGTTTTCCAAACCGGTAAAATAAAAAGTCCTTTTTAAAGTGAATATATTATACAAAGGTGTCTGATGAAATCTAATGACTGTAAATTAAATTATAAATTACGCCAAGAATTGCCGTGTATGTCAATATTTTTTGTGCATTTGGGCCAATTTGAGCAATCTCCTATATATAATTTTATTAATATTAATATTATATATAATATCTATAATTACTTGATTACACATGAAGAAATTTAATGTATATACAGAAGCAATAACTGGAAACTGTTCGGCAACGTGGCTACGTGCCCTGCCACACATTGAACTTGGAGCTGTCTAATTTTTGTATTTGTAAATACTATATTTTATTTGCTTTTTAAAAGTGACTATGGAAGACAGTTTTCTCATAGATGGAGGTAAATTGTTCCAACATTAGGTAAACTGGAAGTGGAAGCTGCCACGGAAAGCCGC